ATATTTTCACATCTGTAGATAAACCTTGCCAGACTGAGCACTCTATTATCTGTTTCTATGTGGTGGCTCAGTGGCTAAGATGCTGAGCTTGTCGATCAGAAAGGTCGACAGTTTGGCAGTTTGAATCCCTAGCATCACGTAACAGAGTGAGCTCCCATTACTTTTCCCAGCTTCTGCCAACCTAGCAGTTGAAAAGCACTTAAAAATACAAGTAGAAAAATAACAACCACTTTTGGTGGGAAGGTAACAGCATTCTGTGTGCCTTAGTCATGCTGGTCACATGACCACAGAGATGCCTTCAGACAGCACTGGTTCTTCAGCTTTGAAACGGAGATGAACACCCACCCCCCAGAGTTGGAAATGATTAGCACTCATGTGCGAGGGGAACCTTTACCTTTACAATATACTCTGTGAACTATTAGGGAGGGGCTGCCTTCACCCTATTTCACTCACACATACTATCTGGACCGAGTTGTCTCCTATACCTCTGGAATACCAAAAAGTGTTTTTTTTTCCAAAAGGCAACTGGACTTCCTTTGTTTTTTTCCTTGAAGGCATTTCGCTTCTCATCCAAGAAGTTTCTTTAGTTAGGACTGAATGGTGCAGAAAGGAAGGATTTATATTCTTTATTCCTTCCAGTCATTTGGTCATTAGCACTCTTTTTGAGAGCCATTGAGGTCACTTGGAGGTTTATCTGTGCCCTCAGGTCACCTGAATTGTGCAAATGGGTGTGGAATCTTCTTGGAACTGCTGAAAGGACTGTGTTGTAAATGGGAGATAGGTGGTGTCGTATCCCTCCCCCTCTGTTGAGAGAGGGCTGTTCAATCTTAATGTGGATGGTTTCTTTCACCCCTATTTCAGTGGTGGGTTCCTACCAGTTCGGACTGGTTTGGCCAAGTTGGTAGTGGTATGGCGGCCTAGGTCGCTGGAACCAGGCCTATCATGCCCCCAAACCAGTTCCCCGGTCTCTTCTCCCATTGCCGTCATGTTTCTGCGCATGCGCAGAACAGTTTTCAGTCAACTGCACATGTGCAGCAACCCGCGGCGGGCACGTGAGTGAGCGAAGCAAGCAGCGCTCACACAAAATGCCCTCTCAGTGAACCAGTAGTAAACCGGTTAGCTGATGTTTATCTGCTAAGCATTTAAGTAAGTTTACTAAACAGGAGACAAATATTAGAAAACTAGAAAGATAAACTAGTACACCAATGAAGTGTTTGTCTGCATGCTGTTCCAGGCTGTTTCTTAAGCCAACTTCAGAAATTGCAGTCGTGGTTGACAATGGAGCTGGGTTGGTTCTCTATTGCAAGTTCTAACTGGTTATTCTCATGTTTCTGCTCTTCCCATCCACACAGGGAAAGTCGGCCTTGCTGGTTTGTTCTTTTGTGGACCTGTCTACCAGTGCCTGCCTTTAGGCATTTCTTCGTCTTTGTCATCTCCATGCCTTTATTTTTCTTTCCCAGATGTTTGCACACATGGATACCCCCTCCTTCTTCTCTTCTTGGACACTAATGCAGACCATTCCTCCCTCCCTCTCTCTCTCTGTCTCTGTCTCTGTCTCTGTCTCTGTCTCTGTCTCTCTCTCTCTCTCTCTCTCTCACACACACACACACAGACACATCCATGGTGCTGTTGTAGGTTCACTACTACAGTAATAAAAACAATAGGGAACAAGTTGGTCTTTCCTCCCTTTACAGTCCATATAAATTTTATAGCAAAGAAGAACTGAAAAGCATAAGTAGAAACAGATAGCAGCATTCCTACATTTCAAATTAAATATTTAAAAAATGAGAGAGGGAAGTTTTGTAGTACTAGGAATATGGGATAAGAAACTAGGAGAAACATGTTTCATGCTGCCTGGACAGAAAGGATGCTCACAGGAAAGTGTAAGAGCTTCATGGAGCCCAGGTTCCCTAATGTGGAGAAAACTTTATTCATATAATGGGTCATTATTTTTAAAAAACAGTGGGTGTCAACCAGTAGAGAATATAACCTCCCAGACACCCAATAACAATATAGTTGTATAGGACAGCAATCAACTGTTGCTGGGCCGTATTATTAGATACTGCAGGCAATCTGAGCCAGGGCTGCTACTGGAACAGAACAAAATACTGGTGACTATCTGCTCAGAGGGGTTTAAGACAGTTTGGGCCAGGAAAGAATAAGTTTGAATGGAAACTGGAGAAGAATGGAAGGGTTGCATTTCATCAGAAAAGGTTGATTGTCCCACTCTTGCCAAGCAGAAAGTGGAGATTTACCCTTAGAAAAATATGACCATTCTTCTTTCCACTGTATTGAGGATGGACGGTATCACATAGGGAGGATTTGTTATCATAAAAGCAGCCACTGTTAATTTCCATTATCTTTTGTAAGTTTTTAAACTATTGTTATACAATTGCAAAGAGTGTTGTTATCTACAAAAAAGCCATCCTCCAAACAAAAACAAAATGCATGAAATATTGAATTCTTTTTATATTAAACCATATCTTGTGAACCAATATTTGCATTTGAAGCACCACATCTCCAACTATTAGACGAACCTATCCGTTTCTTCTTAAAAATTGGGCATGAATGTCTAGACTCTACAGTATTTTTGTTGAATTAACCATTAGTTTAAATCTTTTCAAATAAGATGAACAGGTGTTGAGATGTTATTGCATTGATATATGTGTACCGAGCACTGCAATTTCTTGTTCTGTTCATCTCTATATTCTAGAGCATCTCATTTCATATAGTCTAACAACATGTACCTTGTTATTATAGGCTTCTGATTTTGCAAACAATGTGCTAAATCATCTAGTGGAGAGGGATTTAATGCATGTAAAGATGCCAGCCTGTATCTAAATATCAAAAAAGTATTTTAACTGAATATATTGCTACTTGTACCTTTTTGCAAACAAAAGGAAGGAATTTTGTAGCTTCAGAAAGGGGAGATAGCTGTTGCTATGTATAATGTTCTGCTTCATTATCAACAGATCTAGACATCAGTCGGTCTGTTGCAAAATCATCCCACGTCACAAAAAGCTGCTGCTGCTGGAACCTTGATGAATGGATGGTCTACAAAATTTATACTCTAACAGACATAGCAACGTCTCCTATGAGAGGGTCAATAAATGGTGTTCAAGCAGTAAGGCTATCAGTATGCTTGACTCCATGACACAGCAGTGAACAAGAGGGACCTGCTTAAATAAGTTCAACACTGACATTAGTAGATATAGTTCATACCTTTTTTTAAGGAAAATTATCAGTACTTTTGATCAGTGATGTCATCAAAGTAAACAAACCCACGTGCTGATTACGTCACCAGATCATGCCCCTAAGTGGAAGTGACGTGCACAGCCCCCACCCTCCGGATGTGCATAGCCCTCCTCCTCGGCTGGGNGGAGAGAGAGAAAGAGAGAGAGGTGAAAAGAAAAGGGAAAGTTCTGGGCAGTTTCTAAATCAGCTTTATAATTTATTTGAAAACGCAGCTTTTAGAAGTCTTAAGCAGAACTGCAAGAAGTGGTGAGTTTGTGGGGAAACTCTCTCGCACGCAGGGAGGGGAGGGAACGACAGAGGAGATTTGTATGAAAATCTTATTCTGTATATTTAATGTAGCTTTTTTTGTATTTAAATCGGTTATACGGTATCTTTGAAGTAAATTATGAAATCCAACACCTTGTACAGTCATAATGTCGCTTTTTGGTTCTCTCTGCATAGAGATCTCTAAATATAGATATATGCACACACACACAGGCGCGTTTGTGTCTTCTCCCAAATTGTTTATATATATATTATATATGTGTGTCCGTCCGCCCGCCCGTGTGTGTAATCTATCTGCTTATTGAGTTATTAGCAGCATAATATTATCTGAAATTAACTACTTTCCATGCGGAAGCTACTCAAACTGTGCTATTAGGTGTCAGTCACAGACGGCCTCAAATCCAATGTGAAATCAAACCATAGATTTATTTTTATTTGCATTAAAATGAAAAAAAAACCTCCACATTTTGAAAAGGAAAGAAATACCGATCATTTTGGAGTGGGGGGGGGGCTGCAATCCGAATGCAACAAACAAAGAAAAGAGGGGAGGGGGAAAACGAACAAAGGAAATAATTCTAATGAATTTTTCCGCCCACCTTGTTTAGGTTGAGAACCCGGGAGAAAAAAAAGGCTTTTGGGGAAGTTTCTAGTACCTGATTTGGGGGGGAAATGAACTAGGAATAGATTTGGGGGTTGGGGGTGGAAGAGGCCAGTGGAAAGGAGCAGGCGGTTATGAGAAATATTTCACCTCGGCTGATTTTACACAGAGCAAGAGACTTCAAATCTAGTTTCTACTTTCTTGGTAGATTTTTCTTGGGAAAGGGACGCGACGCAGGGGGGGGCACCGACGCCGGACCCCTGCCTAGATTTGGGGGTCGTGGGGTGGGGGAGAAACAGTGCAAAAGGCGGGCTAAAAATGGAAGGAGTCGGGGCTTTTTCACGCCTGGCGATCTTTTAGGCGAGTTCTTTGGGAGTCGCCCCCTCCCCAAAAAGTCTTTTAATTTACTCCTTCCCGACTTTTTACGCAAAGCTTTTTTGGGGGGGAGCGGTGAAGCTGGCGAAGGAGGTTCCATTTTACAGCGGATTTGTTTTTTTTTTTCCTAAGCGGTTCTGCGGCACTAGAATACCCGGGAGAGTCGGGGGGTTGTGTGAATCCGCGCCCGCCTGGCCGGCCGCTTGATTCCTCCCTCCCTCCCTCCCTCCCTCTCTCTTTCTCTGTCTGTCTGTCTGTCTGTCTGTCTCTCTCTCTCGTTCTTTCTCTTTCTCTCCCCCTCTCTCTTCCTCTGTCTTTCTGTTTGTCTGTCTCTCTGTCTGTCTGTGTATGTGTGTGTGTGTGTCTCTCTCTCTCTCGGCCCAGCTAAAGTTTGCAAAGTCAGAGAGGCTGAAATGATTCCCCCCACACACACACTTATTGGTTCCATCCTGCCAAAGGCGTGGATGGGCACTTTTGGGATATGTGTGGCGCAGATGAGTGCGCGCAAATGAGGATGAGCAAGGGTCGCCTTGGACCGCTTCCCAAATTCACAGGTAGGTGTCACACTTGTGCCGAATTTCAATCGGAGTCCTTCTGACTGGTGCAAGAGAGACAGAGCCCAGGTTTCCCCATCAACACGCCCCCCCCCCGCGCGCCCCGAATTAAATGGAACTCAAAAGAAGCGGCTTTGCCGTTCAGTTCTCTCCAGCGGCAGGTTGGGACGGGAAAGGAGGGGGAGATCGGAAAGATAAATCTCCGATTTATTTGGTCGTTTTGAACGGAGGAAACCTTAAACCCCTTGGGTTCTTGGTTTAGCCTCTCTCACGCACGCACACACCCCCCCCCCCGTGTAAGATCACCTGAGGCCCCCAATTTCATTTCGGCTCTTCGGTTTACTTTTTTTGGGGGGGAGAGGTCACAGCTCGGAACCTCAGGTTTTCATGCGCCCCCTCCTCAAAACCCACTTGAGGGCAACCCCCAGGCCTTCTCCGAGGCTTTGTCTATTTATTTCATTGAAAGGGAGGGGGGGAGAGGAAGCGCAGGCCTGGAAGACAGTCTTTAGGACATTTACTATTAAGAACCGACCAAAAAATGAAGTCCGAGTTGTTTTATGGCCTGATTTGACCCTTCTACTTGTTGGTCTGCCTCTCTCTCTCTCTCTGCCTCCCCCGCAGGCCATTTAAATAGAAAATGTTCCCTGGAGACCACTTACACTGCTCCTTCGTAGTTTAGGAGGAAGGGTGAAAACCATTGGCTCCTTTCCTGGAAACAAGAAAGAAANAGGAAGGAAGGGAAAGAAAAAAGGAAGGAAGGAAAGATGGATTGCTCTTTTCCGGGGGGGGGGGGCGTTAGACGGCTTAGCCAACTCGCCCCATCTGCTGGGAGGGAAAGCAGACAGGGGGATGATTTCGGCTGTCAGGTTCCAGGGCGGTGCGAAGAGCAGCTCTGAGCCGCAGAAGTCTGACCGCGGCCCCCGGGGCCCCTCTCCGCCTTTCCTCCGCAGGCCCCGCAGACCCCAAAGGCGCCGGCGGGGGCAAAGACACCGACGGCGCCTCCAGCGACTCGGATTGTAAGGAAAGCCCCGAGCAGACGCTTCGGAAAGACGCCTCGCCGCCTTTGGCGCACTGCGGAGCCGCCAGCCGCCTCCTCCTCCAAGCCCACCACCATCACCACCACCAGCAGCAACAGCAGCAGCAGCAGCTCTTGCATCCCGAGGACCCCCCGCCGCCCCCTCCCTCCCAGTATAGACCCCCTTCGACGGACCTGCACCCCGGCCTGCCTGCCAGCCACGCCACGTCGGTCATCCACACGCCCCAAGCGCCTCCGCAGGCGGCCGGCCCGGGGGCTCTTTCCAAGCCCAAACTGTGGTCCCTGGCGGAGATCGCCACCTCGGCGGACAAGGCCAAGGAAGGGGGCAGCGGCGAGACGCCCCCGCAGACTCCTTCGTGCTTAAACGGCCCGGCGGCGCAATCCCCGACGGCGCGCTCGCCTTCCGCCGCCCCTTGTCCCTTCCCCAACGGCGCCGCCGCCTCGGTGCTCCCGCGGCCCCTCTACTACGCCACCAGCCCTTTTTACCCCGGCTACACGAACTACGCTTCCTTCGGACACCTGCACGGCAGCGCGGCCCAGGCGGGCGCCCCCAGCCCCCACTTTAACGGATTAAACCAGACCCTTTTGAACAGAGCGGAGAGCTTGGCCAAAGACGCGAAGATTCTCCGGAGTCAGAATCAGTACGACTTTAGCAAAGAGTCGCCTTACGAACTCAAGAAAGGTATGTCGCACATTTAAATCTCCGACTTAAGTTGAGCTCAGAAACGGGACTTGTGGATTTGGGCCCGCCTTTGATTCGGGGGAAGAGAAAGTTGTGTGTCCCGTTCCCCCCACCTCCTCCTCCTCCTCCGCCTCCGCAGCCTGTTCGGTATTTTCTGGTATTCTTTTTTTCTTTCTTTTTTCATCGTGAGCGATTTTTCCACGTTTCTTTCCCACCGAGCCCGTCTGGATTGGGGTTTTTCCCCCCTCCCACCCGTTGCCAAAAAGGGGGGGGGAGGAAGGGTGGAAGAGAAAGAGAGACAGAAAACGAGAGAGAGAGAGAGAGAGAGAGAGAGAAAGAGAGAAAGAAAAAGAGAGAAGGAGAGAGAGAAAGAGAGAGAGGTGAAAAGAGAAAGAGAAAGACAGACAGACAGAGAGAAAGAGAGAGAGAGAGAAAG